CCCTACACCCTAAAACCTAAACCCTGTTGTAAAATTAACCTTAAACCGCCAAGCCCCTAAACCCGAAATAAAGCTATCACCCCTAAAGTCCCAGAAGCAAGGACAAATCGATGCCATGCGAGGGAGCCTCCAACCTCACGGTGAACTTCCAGCCGGTTTAGGGGGCTTAGGGTTTAGGGTTCAGGTATTTAGGGTGTAGAGGCCTAGGGTTTAGGGGACTTAGGGTTCAGGTATTTATAGGTTTTAGGGGCCTAGGATTTAGGGGCTTAGGGTTTAGGTATTTAGGGTTTAGGGGCCTAGGGTTTAGGGGGCTTAGGGTTCAGGTATTTAGGGTGTAGGGGCCTAGGGTTTAGGGGGCTTAGGGCTTAGGGTTTAGGTATTTAGGGTGTAGGGGCCTAGGGTTTAAGGGCTAGGTATTTAGTCTGCCTGTGTTTGCTGGCTAGGGTTCAGGCTTTAGGGTTTACAGGGTTTACGGGTGCATGCGCCTGTCGGTTGAGGCGGTGGGTGGGATGGCTTGGGATTTTGGGCTCGTGGAGGGGATCTGATTCTTACTTGTGCAGTAAAGGGGGTTTGTCATTAAAAGAAACATGTGCCCTGGGCCCCGACCTTAGTCTATGATCCATAAACACAGAGTAGTGTAAGAGTGTGAGACGCTAAGGGAACCCTAAATCAGTAAACCCTCCGAAAACCTCCGAAACCCTAAACCCTGAACCCTAGTCCTTTAAACCCTAATCCCTAAACCATTATCCCTAAACCCCAAACCCCAGACCCTGAACCCTAAATCTCGGAAGCTATAAACCCTAAACCCTGGAAAATCGGCCTCACTGGGTCAACGAAGCCCCAGGTGATGGTGAAGCCCGCAATGAGGTTGGCATCCACCTGCTCCTTGGGGCTGGGTTTAGGGTTTAGGGCTTAGGGTTTAGGGCTTAGGGTTTAGGGCTTAGGGTCTGGGGGCTGGTATATAGGGCTTCTAGGGTATATGGTATATAGGGTTGGGAGTATCCTGGGTTTGTAGCCTTTAGGCTTTAGGCCCTTTGGGCTTTTCAATCATGGCTCCAGGGGCTTCGGGGTTAAGGCGGGATGCTGGACGGTTTATGGGGCTTTTCGGCTCTAGGACAACGAGATGCATGCTTTAAGGCGACATGGTTAGCCCCTAAACCCTAAACCCTAAACCCTAAATCCTAAACCCTAAGCCCTAGGTTAGGCCGCCGTAGAAGCAACACGCACTGCCGCATGTTGTGATGATGCTCGCAGCGTTGCTAGAACAAGGAAGCCCTCGGCCCTTGGATCCAGACAACAATGGCCCTTCTTTAAGGGTTAAGGGTTCAGGGCTTAGGGTTTAGGGTTTAGGGTGTAGGGGTTAGGGTTTAGGGTTGAGGGTTTAGGGGGCCCTGAACTACAGCGTTGCTAAAATAATGTCGAGGCGTCGATGAGCTTTATCTCCGCACACCTGGGCGCCAGTGGAAACGCTTGCTCGAAAGATGAAAGAAACACGTCGAACGCGAGGTATACCCTTTTTATAGGAACCCAAAAGTAAGAAAACTACACTATTCGACTTTCTGGGCGCACACGGACCTGTAATGGCAGCCCCCGGCCACTTCAAAACTAGGTTAGAACCCCCTTAAAGTCTGCTGTATAACCCTGTGGAGTAGACGGTAGCAAGAGCAACAAGCTATGACTCCAGGCGAGATGTGCATATCTAGATGACCGGCGATAAGAGGGCGATAGTCGCACCACAAAGCAGACTGATAAGTGCAACATCAAGTAAATTGCCATTTTTTAATTAAAAAAAGGCCATGGTCGGAACGAAATCGTGACGACAGGAACGGTTCACGTCAACCGGACCGGCGCAGGTTCAAGTCCATTCTGCGCAGCAGGCAGACAGCGCAGTTAAAGCATCGCCTTCTATAGGGTGCTGAATATAGGGCCTTCATTTAGGGGCTGAGAACCCTTGCACAAAAATGCCAAAAATGATCTTGTGAGGCTGGTACGAATTTGCAAGCCTAGTAGTCAAGGACTTTTGTGGGATCCCAAAAGCTTCCTAGGTTGGCCCCTCGAGGCCTGTGAAAATAATAGTAAGCTTGACCCTTTTTTCAAGCCCGAAATAAGAAAGCCACAAATGCCCTCAAGGCCTCCGTAGACCCCGAATCCTAAACTCTAAAGTTCCTGAAACTCACATCTCCTTGCAGAGGCGGAACTCTGCCTTGACGCACATCTTTTCTTTAATCCTGGCCTGCAGGGGACACGCGGAACCGACGGAGCACTTGACAGTTCGGGGTTATAGGTTTTAGGGTTTAGGGTGTAGGGTTTAGGGTGCAGAGTTTAGGGCTTGGGATTTCTGGCTGGAAAAGTTGGGGGTTTCGGTCCAGGCATGCTATTGTCTCCGATGTTTGTGTCCCTCTTTTTGTGACGCAAAGTATCATGGACATGCGAGTTCTTGAGCGGTTTGAACAGAACACCAGAGACGAAGCCTCACGAATGAATGCTAGGGATACCCAGGGAACGAACCAGTCGATAAGTACACTCGAACATACCTAGGCTACAAGCCTCTTTGGACCCGCAATGGAAACACCAATCTTAGTGACCTCTCTACGTAGTTCAACGAAGACAGTATGAAGCACTGCGAAGCAGGGCGAGAGCCCACCTTCTGATCTTCACTCAGCCGCTGTGCCGTCCGCACAATCACAGGTGCTATTCCCTGGTTGAAGTACAGGCTCTGCATGAAGTCGTTGCAGATTTCCTGTAGGGGTCATCTCGTCACGGATGCAGGTTAAACCGATATGGCTGCCTATACATATATATATATACATACAGAGATATATAGGATATAGATAGATAGATAGATAGAAAGAAAGCAAGACCTGTCGAAGTCCATCCCTTTGCCGAAATGCTCCATAACGCTGATGCCAGTGCCATGCGAGTTTTTTCGAGGGTTTCGGATTTAGGGACACTTAACCGACAAACCCCAAACCCTCAAACACTCAACCTGACAGCCGAACTGGCTAAACCCATTACAAGTGCCTGCATATGTTCGACATTCCCTCCTTGAGGCCCCTTAACCCTGAGACCCGAAGACCTGAAAACATAACACCCTAAAAATCTAAAAGCCCCTAAGACTCCGAGCTTGTACGGTGACACCCCAAGCTGGTCCTTGAGGCCCCTGAGTCGGTTCTTCTTTCCCAGGAAGACAATGAACTTTGGCATAACCTGGGGATAGATTTATTAAAACATGATCATGTCTAATCCTAATTGGGTTTATTATGACCCTAAACCCTAAACCCTAAATCCAAAAATGTAAAATTGTATCCAACAAGGACCCAGTAACGCTCGACTGGAAAGCTTCGCCTTCCTCAGGCCGCTTGAGCTTCTTTTTTCACGGGCTTGGTGCGTTGAAGCAGGTAAATCCCGGGTTTATTTATAGGGTTGTACGTGATTCTTGATGGTTTCTATCTAAAGTTGCCGATTTTAGGGTCTGGGAGCTTGGGGTTGGATTTACAAGGTTCACAGTTACGGCTAAAAAAGCGAAGGAAGTGGCTTTGCCGTGCAAGTAGTTGACTCACAGGGGCTTCAGGATCCGTGGCTGAACCCTATACTCAAGGCTCGGAGGTCTGACTTTCCCTCCCTCGACTCCCAGAATGTAGAAGCCCTTTCCTTGTGGTAATCTAACTTATGGCTGCGTCGCTAGGATCCTGCAATAAAACAAGCCAAGGCGATCAACACTTCGGCACAGCAAACTCGAGTCTCTCCATCGATCCCCTCAAGGCACTCTCCGGAACAAGGACTTATGGTCTCGAATAGTGGGCATTTCGACATAGTGAAAGAGTACTAGCTTCGACCATCTCAGTAATACCTGTGCCCGAAAGACCTGCCGGTTTAAGGCACTCTATACAGAAACCACACTAAGGAACCCTCAAAGAGGTATGGAACTTCCTTTCAATCCCCAGCTCCTGTACGAAGTCTCTTCAAATTCTTCAGTTGAGGGATGCGGGGTTTCCTGAAGCGGGGAGCGGGCGCGAAATTTCGACTTGGGGCTGCCCAGAGACTCCAACAGCCCTGAATCAAGGAATAACCTTAAGTCACAATGCATCAACGGATCTGACGGTCGCTTCTCCTGTAATTATGCACGTACGTATGTATGTATCTATGTATGTATGTAGGTAGATAGAGATAGTGATATTGATAGATATCCATACCTGATACATAAACATATATGTGTGTGCTCCCTACTTGGGAATCTTGAAGTGTCTGGGTGGCTGAGGACAGGGTCCGTCATCTTCGGCCCAGGTGCTGGCTTGAGAAGCTGGATGATTTTCCTGACTGCTCTGCGCGCACGAAAAGCAGAGGCTGACGTGGGCAGAAAGGCAGGAGTAGCGCAGCCAACGGAAGGGTGAACAACTCTGCCGAATCAAAGGTAGCAGGGACAACCATGCAACAACAGCAGCAATAGCACAGCAACAACAACAAAAACAAAATGGAACCGGCACTCATGCCAGCAAGAGAAGAAACATGTAACAAATCATATAATCAAAGTGCCAGAAAAGTGGCTCTGCTTTCTGCACATTGGTCAAGTTGTAGTTGTTCTGGATCAGGCTCAGCGAATCCAAGAACTCGGCATCTGTAAAGGCATCCTTCACGTCCATGACATCCGCGGCCACTTGCACGAACTCCTTTGTTCTCCTCGCTGTATATTATATTTAATATCGTGTTATATTATGTTTTGTTATGTTATAGTGTATATTATATTATATGATCATATTCTATTTTGCAGTCTGGAGGACGCAACACGTCCAGTCGCTACACCAACCCGGCGGATAGGAAAACTCCGTCTCGGTGCTCGTCACATCTGGAGAGGACGCCCTAAACTAAACCCCAAAGCCGGCACGAACCGTGAAACCGAAGGGGCCGCTAAGAAGCTAAGTCGGAACATGCTCGCGGGCTGAGATTCTAAGGTCCAGCAGCACCCAACAACCAAACAAACACCCGATCTTCTGAACGCCACTAAACACTCTACCCCTAGGTGGCAAGGACCTTTAGGGTTTATTT